AACTCGGGCAGGAGGTTCCTCTCCTGCCCTTAACCGTATCAAAACTACCTCCGCCCGCTCTACACCCTTTGCCCATCTCCAGCGGGGCGCCGGTATCTCAGCCGGGCTTCTGCCGGTCCGCGGAGACTTCTCCGTCGGGTCGTTTCCTCTGCCGGGCAACTCGGTACGTCGAGACTATCTCCCCACGGCAGATTCGAGCACCTCGACCTCAACTAAACAATAACGAAATCTTACGAGAGCCTTGACGTAACTGTACGAATCAACCCGAGAGCGTAGCTTCTGAGCAGGGTGGCGACCCGAAGGGAACCAGAAATCGAGAACGTTATCTGTATCGGTAACCGAAGCTGCCTTGGGACTGTGATTCGAAAAATCACGTCACACTAGATATCATCTAGATTGTTATCTAATACCTAGATACCCGCTTTCCCGTACTTTTCAACACTATAGCAATATATTTCTTCGTCTCTCGAGCACCACGACGGTCCTTTCTCCTCAAAGGTCAATTAAAGATTAATACAGGCGAGGGATGCTGCATAGTGTCATTAATAAATGCCACGACACACCTACTTACTATGCACTGTATCAACACTGTTGACCTGGACCAAGTGTCGTACAGTGTCGTGTGGTTTTGATACATAGCCAGATGGCACCACAGACAGTATCAAAAGTAAATTCCGAGCTACTAGACTTGCAGCTTCTCTCTTACTTATTCACATCCCATTGGATTAATCATTGGTGGAATTAACGTACACTACCTTCAAACTAAATTCGTCACATCATACTAATTCGATCTCTATCGGAGCTGTGATACTATGACGAATTCTCTGTCCCCTTGTTCAATAACATTTGTCAACCGCATATGGTCCACGGAATACGATTCGTCACTCTTGTTTTATCTCGGATCAGTGATGGAGAATGAAGCTCCAATGCCCTATGGCTGTCCTAAAGGTAACAGTAACTTTTTGGATTTTTTTCTTCAAAATTAAAAAAAAAACCCTTATACAGTGACGTGGAATAAAAAAGTGAGTTAATTTTTTTTGGAAACAGTGGTACCCCTGTAATGGTTTTTGGATCACTGCAAGATACCGTCGATGCGATATTAAGTGGACGGTGGTCCGTTTACCGATAAGCGATGTTGAGTCTTGGCGGAGAAGATAAATTGTTGGAAAAGTTGAAAGGTGCTCGAAAGCTCCATTCGATTCTCTGATAAATGTGACACAGTCAGTTTCCCGTCGACGATTCTCCGACTGCCTATTGATTTGCAATTGTGGCTTTTCTTTTGGACTCTTTCTTGAACATTTCAAATGCAAAGTTATTATTATCTGTACACTGAACACCGCATACCATACTGGATCAGGATAGGCATACTCTTCATACGTATGATACTATCACTAATGGTAGCAATGACGTTAACTTTATTTTCTTTTTAAAAGCCACGAATCTCGCTGTATCATATTTCTCTGCTTGTAAAGTTACACTGGAAAGGTCGGAATCCTCTTTGGGAGATCTTGTGTCTTTCTCTCTCTCTCTCATTGTCTCTGTACTTTTCGCCACTTGGTGATCCCCGCTAATGTAACCCATCGAGTAGGGATCCGTTGTAATTTTCATGCATTGCAAACTAGCTACTTGCCATTAGCAATGTCATTGTCAGTGCTACCCATCAGGGGAATATCTACTGTCTGACACGTGCTGGAGCATCGGTGTCCTTATAAATGTCCACTGAGCTGAGTCATTGTGGAAGCTCCTTAATGATTAATGATACATCCGGCAAGGTATTCTGTATCTATACGGTTATGGTGAGAGCACTGGGCCATCGTTGTTTCGTTATACGTTGCTACGTACTATGTATAGTCTACTCTAGAGATCTAATGGAAGTTCTTTAAACATTTTTTTTCTATGATATAATTTAAATACATCCTTTTACTTGGTTCGTTCAGCTTTTATTGATACAGGCGTAACGTTAAGATTGTATAGAGATTGAGAGTGGAGAGAGTGCCTGAAATTTCGTATTGTACTGAAAGGCGTTGTATTTTTCGCACGGTGCTGCCGGGTGAGAGAGTTCCTGAATTCTTATTTTTCGAGCGAGTAAATGGAGGAAAATGTGGTTGGTAAAAGAAAACCTCGGTGTTCCTTTGGAACTCGAGATTGCACCCAGGCACGGTGATGTATGAGGACGGGATTCTAGAAAAGAGAGAGAAAACTTCGTTCAAGTTGCTGCCACTACCTATTCCCTTCGTCCCAGTAGCTTAGTCGCTTCCGTTTAGGTAGGATCCTCAAATTTGATAACAATCAAAATCTACCTTTTACAGATGTTCCGTCGCCTACGACACTGCCGGGAATTAGCAGCACTACGCCAATGCCGACTGTGGAGAGGGGTGAGTGTTTTGGTGCTTTAAATAAAAGCATTTTGACTTCGCACTCAACGTCATGGCTGGTCGAGTTAATTGATTCTACTTCTGAAACTTTACAGTGGAGAAGAAGCAGCGGTCCAGGCAAAAAATTCCACCGAGTTCCGTGCCCAACGTTAACGAGGTCATGGATGCTTCTAAATCCGCAGCCAATAGAAATGGTAGGTTGTTCAAATAAATCAGATTCTAAATCTTTATGATCTAATACATTTTCTTTGGTCTCATCCAAAATCTTTCCTCGCATTAAACTTCCTACCTTGAATTGCGGGAATATCTTAGGGGAAAAAAAAAACTTATTTAAATATCAAAAGTTACGTTTGATATTAAAATGACTCTTTTTCGCATTTTCTAGATCTGCGACTTCGCGGCAGGCAGAGCGACGAGAGTCGCAGGAACGATAATGACTTGAGTCGCTCGGCTGACGTCACTGGACAACAAAACGACAACACGGCGCAATCAATGTCATCGACTGGACACATTAGATTTTCCTTGGTATCGTCCGAAAGCATCGTTTACGTGATTTTGATAATGACGATATCGTAGTCGGTGGGGAATTATGAAAATGGAGTCTGATCGAATGAGAAACAAGATCATGGGCTGCGTCATTACGACAATTGATTCGCCCTAATTAATGTAGTTCATTGAAATTGGAAAAATATTGGATTCTTCTTTCTTTCCAATATTCAAGATTCATCAAACGTACCTGCGAACGGTCTCTGTCGATCCGGATAATTAGAGATCCTCGAAAGGATTTGTCTTATAGACTATTTCCTATCACTCATTCTGATTCTCCTTGGTGATGTATATGATGTCATCTGCATCCTTGCGCCATAAGATCCCATACTCATTTCCCTTGGGGAATTCGTTACCGGAGTTCATCAGAACGTTCTCACCACGCGGAAATCGCTCTTGACTCAATACCTATCATCTTTGATGGGTCATCTTATCTGATATGATCCAAGATTGCGTTCATTTCAAAATAATGTACGATGATTATCATCGTCGTCAAAACGAATTTTCTTATTGGACTTTTAATTTCGTTTTTTCTTTTATTATTAAATTCCGGATTGCACTCTGTCGTATTTCATTGACATTTGCACCGTAAATGTCAGATTTAATGACCGTAGGTCACGCAGACAACAACGCGAATTTAGTGGCTGAAAATTAATTTCAGGTTTCACGTATCCCGTGACGTCACTCACTCGAGACTCGAAGGATACGAGCTTATCGATTCTTTTAGCATTAAAATTTTTTATTATTTTACGACTGGGACGCGAATTTTTTGTCACGACTTCTCGAGTTTCTTCAGGGGTATCTGATTAATCGATCAATGGATTTCTGTCCAGGATCATGGTTTTGGCTACGACGCATGTCTGTGGTTGTCAAATGAAATCATTTTTTTTTCTCAAAATATTCTCAATTTCATTTAGGATTTCATTCTGTATTTACATCGCTAAGTCCACATGGCTAATTTAGACAATTCTCTTTATCCTGATTAATATAGACGTAGCAGCCTAGTTATAAAGTCAAAAAAGGAACCAATTCATTTTACCGATGAAATCTTAAGAAGAATGTATTTTGGAATCGTCTTCGTTTAATCTTCCGAACGTCACATATCACTTTAGTGTTTTTTTTTAACTATAGTGAGTGAGTCTTTTCTTTTGAAACTTACTTCCCGTATTGAGCTCGCAGCAAATAGTTACTGTGTAATATAATATTTTTATGAAACATCACGCTCAAGCATTTCATTAGAATACGTATGAGGTATATAACATCGTCATTAATTAAAAAAAATGTAATCATTGTACGTATCCATGTTAACGTACAACGGGCATAGACGTATTTTAAGAATAACTAAAACGAAGCGACAATTTGTGTTTGTTTACGAGAAATTGTTAGTGTCATTGTGTACAGTGCATAAGATTCTACAGAAACTCGAGACTAATAAGCAAAACTACGTAAGGTCATTCGAAAAATCGTGTAAATTTCACCAAGTTTAAGTACTCGAATGTCCCTGTATATAAGATCAGTAATACACAATAAGAAACATATTGTAATGGGACTCTAATGTGATAAGGATAGAAAAAAGTAATGTAAATATTAACTTTAATCAATAATTTTTAGCATTGTTATAAATTGTCATTAAGACAAGCTGTAAATATTAATTGTTAGACGTTAGCGTATTTATGTATATCAACATATTAACATACTTTACACAGTTGCATGTGAAACACGTGTACATAAAAATCGATGCGATTAATTTCTGACGAAGTGCATTTGTTTTTTTTTTTTAGTATTAATATTAGGATTTAATTAATCATGATAGTGTCATCGATGTAGCGCGATAACGCAAACCAGCCTATTTTCTGTCCACGATTTACATTAGATTTGCATATGAATTACCCAACGACCTCAATTGCTCGCTGCCCATTGAGAACACGTGCTACCATATGAATCATATGAGTATGTATAATTATTTCTTGCGTTGTTCTGTAATTGCGCGAAACACGCGTTACCTACCAAGGATTAAGTACTAATCGAGATTCTGTAAAATATTTTTTTGAGGCATCGATAAAGTAAGATGTATTTATTGTAATATTGTAAAATAATAACGCCTTTATGTATTAATCATGCGTACCACCATGTGAGCAAAAGAATTTTAGACAAGATATCACGTAAAGTCATTCATTCAATCATGGGACAACTGGCACTATGTTTTCTCAGTGTACCGCGTGAAATATTAATTCACAAAATAATACAGTTTCCACATAAGAGATTTCAACCTACGATATATTTTTACCCAGCAGTAAAATGTCATTTAAAATGGCCACTGCGAAAGGCTTTTTAATATAATTTGTAACAAGCTTTGTCGTAACTTTAACTGTGAGTTTTCGCAGGATAATTATGCTCGTGACCAATATCCTATAACGAACGTAAAGTTTCTTTGGTGCATTCAACAGTTTTAACGAAGCTACTATAGAAACTCTAAAATAACAGGTAATTGTCTAAACTGGCAAATATATCATACCATCAATGAGGTCGAGTAATTGCGAAAAAGTTTACAATCTACATTACGGTTCCGTGTGCTGCAAGGTGAGATTACGGTGAAAAGAAGATATTTTAATAGAGTACACTTTATTTACAATCGTAATCGCTTTTAGTTGTACAAATATAATAGTGTATTCGCATTAATCTTTAAGTGTAGGTATATAATTCTAAATTTATCCTTAGATCTCAAAAGCTTTACACTGATCCATGTTACCTTATGTATCTCATAACGAGTGATACAACAACGACAGTCTCATGTTACGATATTTTCTTTTGGAAGCTATCCACCTGTTTTCGAAAAATTTTCGACTACTCGAAATAGTTATCAGGTGGACTTTTTTTTCTCTTCTAATCTTATCTAATATTCGGATAATCTCTCTTTCTCTCTCTCGCACTCACGCGACTATCAAATCAGTTAAAATAGTAAAATCTCAATGAATTTTGAACGGCCTCGTCCTATAAAGCTACGAACGCCAAGTATAACGTATCTTTCTATTTTGTTGCAGTCTTCTTGGTACGTCTTTTTATTTCTTTGCTGCCTTCGTCACGTGCCAACAAAGTCCATATGCACTGAATGCTCACATGTACTTTGATGCATACGAAGGATGCATACGTCGCGGGTAGTCCCCCTTACGACTCATAAAATATGAGACGGTCCTTCTGTATCTGATATAAATTTCTCTCATGCAACATATTTGTCTATGAAAGCTGGCGATATATCATACAGATATATCGTATTTGTATCTACGTCACATACATCCTACTCGTATCCACGATACTCCAAAGCAGAGACAGAGGCGAGCAGAAAATATTATAAGATCTTGAGGCAAAGCAAAGGCTTAACGAAAGTACATTATACAAGTATTATTGACATTTGAGAGCGAAGAAAATAATTTTTTTTTATTTTCCTCCTTAATCCGTGGTATTAATCATACTTGCAATCAACATGATATAATGACTATTATTGTATATTTCAAGAAAACGGATGGAAATACTCATTAGGTTTACATTGATAATCACGAAAATAAGGTAAATACGTATTTTTCAAAAACTATCAGAAAATCTACTCGGGCGTGTAAAAGATGAATCGATCACAAGAAACACTGATAATACGAAGAAAAAGAAGAAGACGCTTAAATTAGGAGCAATCCAAGATAAACGTCTCAAATATATACCTGACATTGGAAACTTATTGGATCTACGTGTTACGTGAATAAAACGTATGCCTGAGTTTATCAGATCGTCGTCAGCCCAGCGAACAATTAAGTGATTTTACTTAGCACGTGTATAAGAAGCACGGGGAATGCATCCTCTCTGTACACTATAGTGTACCTATTAATAGTCTTATTTAGTCGATCACTTATGTACTTCCCTTAATTATCCAATTAACATACTTTCTATAGACAAGCTCACTCACTCCTAACAGGTGTGTAGGACGCGGATAATTATCTCATTGTAGCACGTTAATCGTGATCTTTATCGTCGCATACATTGTATGATGATGATATTATCTACAATGTCGAGTGATACAAAAGATAAAAGTTGGATTCCTAATGGAAACAACCATGTATATATAATATAGATATATAATAGAGTTATCACGCAGTCAACAGGATCGACTCGCTTACAAAGCAATAAGTCCAACGGAATTGATAAGCGTAATTACAGGAAAATTCGTATAACAAATGCCAAAAAAAAAAGCAGAACAGTCCAAATGATAAATCCTTCAGAGGATTTCGATAACTTCTATTATTGATAAAGTCGCATTGTTTTAGAAAAAAAATTGTTTAGTTTAAGAGTTTACGAATACGACAACCAGGCGCTTTGGTATCAATAGATGGATTTAAACAAATTTTTAAATTCATTGACAGCCAAGAACATTGACAAGACCGACGCGCAAAAGGCCCTAAAAGTACTACTCGCACGAAGCGTCGTTCTTGGCAGTGAAGTGCGAAACGAAAGCGATTGAATAACTCGAGCGTATTTCTATCGTCTCGCTTGAATGCAGCCATTGTATTTTGAAGCGGCAGAATGATTTCTGAATAGGACTTGATGGCTGAATGTGAAATACTGAGAATACCCGGAATTCCCTTAAGCCAAATACACATTTAACATCAGGGATGACTATTACGTTGGCATTGAGGATTGACATGAGTTTCCACCAGGATGCGTCACAGTTACGTCATTTCTATCCGATGGCAAACGATGCTTTATCACAGGATGAAGTTTCGCATCGATGAAGATCCGGGATATTCTGGTGAGGTGGCTTTCATTTTTTGTCTCTTGGGGAGGATGCGCCTTTATGCTGTACCAAATGGTCCGAGATCTTTTATGGCGAATCAGTAGGGTGAAACGGGATCGATGATGGCCGACGACGCTAGCAATTCTGTACCATGAAGTATGACGTTTGTTGTTGCTGACTTTAGGGTGATCCAAATTGAAGTGACGTCACGTGAAACTTTCTTATGCATTTACTGTGCCGGATGTTGCAGTTTGCGTACGAGAATTGTTCATCGTTTTTGTAAATAAACTGTGCTCGACAATCGTATGACTTATTGCGATTTTTATAACCTACCACACATCCGGTTCTGTACAATCGACTTAATTTTATTTAGTATCAACTAGAGTAGTCTGTTACTTATTTGACATGCCACGTATCATAATTGCGTATCCGTCTTTGCGATACCGATGAACACGTCTATCTAATTGTATTTTGCAACGTGGCACACTACAATGCCTTGCAATTCTAAATGAATCCTCGCAAAGTCTGTATTATGTACATTTGTAAGCATTGTTTGTAAATGCGTGTCTTATAAAGTAATTTTTGGTTTCTTTTTTTTTTTTTCTTTCTTTTCTTTATTCAAAGTATATCGTATCCTAGTGCCAGTCACTCGTCGCTCGCGCTCTCTCAAGTGTTCTTCGAATTTAGTAAATGAAAGTTCATTACAGAAATAATAATGACAGCGAGATCAATCTTCATTTGATAAAACTATTGTCCTCCCTCTCTCTCACTCTTCCTTTTTTCTTCGTTTTCTTGACATTTAACATATTCCCATTACACTCCGTGATGCGTCACGTGTCGATATTGTTTGTTGGTTTCTATTGGTACGATGAATTCTCTGAATGCTCTTTTTCTCTTCTCTCCGGAGCATACGTGAACTACTTCGCATAGAGTGTTCCCTTTGATTTCGCAAGTCGATATTACTATTGGCCTTCTTTTCAAAGATGTTGCTTGTCGCAGCGAATCGGAATGTTCTCGCAAAGCTCTTTGCGTCTATTGAAAAATCTCGATGGTAATACATCAGGAATATCTTAAGGATCGATCATCCGTGTACTTTTATCAACGGGTTTCTAAGCAAGATTCGCAATTTTGACGAACTGTATTTTCAATGGCGAACGAACGAGCTGCGATGATTATTCGATGAGAATTATCCGCTCAGACTGGACGAAGCGTTTGTAACTGCGGCTGATGACGATGAAGGCAAAGGACCATGATGACCGTGAGAAACGTTAAGCTCGGACAACATCTAAGGGTAAGCGCTCCTGAATCCTCAGCATCTTCGTAATCTTCATCCGCGTCCCCCTTGCGCCCACGAAGCTTTAAGTCTGCAAATGAAATTTAACGTTACTCAGAAAGTTCCCATTACACCAATCTCTCCCGTGTTCGAATAAATTTTCGAATAAGAAGAGTCCGAATAGATTTTGGTATTAAAAGTAAGAGAGACATTCATTTCTTACCCCTCTCTTTCAGCATGTCCTGACTTCCCTCGATTATATTCCCTCCAGCATTTTTCCTAAGTTTTCCTGCAAGAGAAAAACATATTTTCTTTATCAAAACTTCCATAATCCTTGTATATTTCTCACAACGACACGCGTTCCCTTATAAAGAAAACGAATAACCACAAAGGATAAATCAATGATTTGCTCCTTAAAAAAAATTCATCATACACATAAAATTAGTTAAAAAACATACTGTGTTCCCTAAGACATTAAAAGTGCATTATTTTCTGGCGACCTCCGAAATGCAGCCGCATATCCGATAAGAGGCGTGTCAGCACTGCATATACCTTTCATTAATATGCACATTTTCGCGATGCATTTTGCTGAAGTGCCTTTATCCGTTCCTAACATTATGTCGCGTTTCCATTCCATTGAATATTCATAGCTCCAACACGTCTGACCGTGTATTAAATAATATATCGAAACAACGACCCTCGTAACCTCCGTCCCACATAGCTGCACCAGTGCGTACGACCAGACGTATAAAGCGCAGTTTCGCAAAGGTTAGTTAAGTTCCGACTAAGCTAATGCCAAGTTCTCTTGCATTTATAGTTACGTGAACCAGCCTTTAGTTAAAACGAACAGAATGATCGACCGAGCGACTTTTCGCGGTGAAGCTTAATACACAAAGGTATAACGATGTCAAGAACGCAATGCCGTGGTGGCGTGTGACATGTTTGTAAGTTGTTACGGTCTTACATGAGTGACAACTGTTTATTTCCTCTCCAAGACCTCCGAGAGCTTCGCTATTTCCACTTTACATTGTTACCATTTTTTTTACAATGCACCGTAAGTCGTTTGAGTGTATCGGCCAATGAAAAAAAAAAAAAAAAAAAAAA